AGTGGTAATTGGTGGCAAAATCTAGATTTCATTCCTGGGCATACTCCACTTCTATGGAATATAACATTTCGTCGTAGCTCTTCTTAAATGCTTCTACGGACATAAACCAATAACAATATTGATATACATCTATTTTTATATAAATAATGATTGTATAAGCATGTACACAAGAATACGAGTTACGTCCCAAGCTCGGCAAGTGCATGTCCTCTTCTCCAAATCAACGTGAGTAGTTCAATGTGATTGCACTTCGAATATATCATCTCTAGATTGCTTAATCTCTAAAGTACATCCTTTTTTCATATTTTCTCCAACAATCTGCTCAGCTTTAAGACAAAGATAGTTTGTCCACTTATCAGCCATTATGCGTCTGTTGTTCATGCGAATCATAATTTGTTTTTGGATATGCTCCACCATTTGCAGTTTATGTAACAATCAAGCTTCACGTATCCAGCTGTTAAAGGATTCTGCGACATTAGAGGTCACATGACCATATCTGCAAACATCAAAATAATAAAAAGTATGATGCATCTAATATATAATAATATTAACACGTAACCACAAAACTTAACCTTTAATAGTGAAAGTTAACATAAAAGATAAAAGTTAACATATATTGGTGAAAGTTAACATATATCAGCCATAGTTAACCTATAGAAAGGAAAATTCACATATATGCGAGATAATTAACATCAACTGCAAAATATCATAATGATTGGATGTAGTACCTAATGCCAGGAAAGAATGCATTTGCCCAATACTCTGCCGAATAATTAATTGCAATCTCATATGCAACTGGAGACATCTCATAAATTTCATTCATGTAGTCGTTTCATTCCGCTATAGTCTATTTATAATAAGCAGATTAGAGCAAATTACCCAAAACTTGTGTGTCCTTTGCCTTCATTCCCAATATCTTTAGCTTTGATCTAAAATTTTCAACCAGGTACAGAACACATCTTGAGTGAATTGTTTTAGAAAAATATTCTCTAACAGCTTCTCAAATCCCCTTGCCGGCATCAGAAATAATTACCAATTAGTGGGGAGGATTGTATGGGTCTGACCTTTTATACAGTATAGACCACAGGCCTTAAAGGAACCATCTCCAGTTATCTACATTTTCCTGATCACATATGCAATACGCAAGTGGAAATATCCCTTGGTCTTCGTCGTATACTATGATGCTCAGGAGCATGCCTTTGTATCTTACTTTCAAAAAGGTCACATCCAAAAATAATAGGGGCTACACCCATTTAAGAAACCAACGATGCAAGCAGCATAACATATAAATAGTCTTCTGAACCTTCCTTCATTCTGGTCAATACAAATGTAGCTTCCTGGATTCGTTTGCTTCACCATTTCCTGATCACATATGCAATACGCAAGTGGAAATATCCCTTGGTCTTCGTCGTATACTATGATGCTCAGGAGCATGCCTTTGTATCTTACTTTCAAAAAGGTCACATCCAAAAATAATAGGGGCTACACCCATTTAAGAAACCAACGATGCAAGCAGCATAACATATAAATAGTCTTCTGAACCTTCCTTCATTCTGGTCAATACAAATGTAGCTTCCTGGATTCGTTTGCTTCACCATTTGCTCATACCTGTACAACAATGTGACCACATTCTATATAAATATAATACATTGGCGCAAATAAGAATTAATTTTTTAAATTTACCGTCTAAGAGTAAAAGTTAACATCTAACTGTTAAATGTATTGTCTAACTGAGATAATATCTTAACATAAAAGCGAACAGTTATTCATGAAATTTAGCATCCAACGGTGACAGCTAAAATATATCAATGAAACTTAACATGAAATGTCTAAGGGTAAAATATTGCAAAATAAATTAACAACTAACATTATACTATAAGCGGCTATCTCGAACAAAATTGTATATTTAATAAAATAACTGTAAAATTTACCATCTTAATTGCTCATAAGACTCATAACTATCACCGTACATATCCTCTTGTGCTCTTTCTTTGCCCCCACTATATCTTACTGTATTCAAGTCTCAATTCATATCGAGTGAGGAACTCCTTTTGCAGTTTAGTTGGGTGGATTTCAAGCCGAACCTTTAATACAAGTCGCAATTGGACTGCTATGAATTTGCGAGATGTCCATGATTGCCCTGACAAGTTAGTAGTAGTCTGAAACTGTGTTCATTCACAAACCTTTTGATTTTAATTCTTTTTTATTTTTAACAGGAGATACAAACAACATCCAAGGGTATTCATATGTCTCCTTATATCGACAATAAACTCGAATACGTTTGGGTTCATTCTTTACAAATTCATAGTCAAACTTTTTTTTCCATAGAATAGTATTACAAAGCTAGTCTCAATTCATTTACAAATTCAAATTGTTGCCCTTTTCAGTTAATGCTATTTACTACCATTGAGGAATGATGGAAGTTTTATTGAGAATATCATTAGCTCTCATTACACTCTCACTGGACGAGCAATTATTTTGAATTCTCTCAGAATTGGAAGCATTTCCTGGAGGAGGATGATTATATTCTGCATTCAAAGAGGCATCACTACTGCACAAATTAATCAACCAATGAGATATTCTGTACACTATAGTATAATATTATTTTTTGATATTTTAAATTAACAGCTTCTTATGAAAACAAAAAGATAACTGTAAGCGTTAACTGACTAAGAGTAAAATAAACCATTTTTCGTAAAATTTAACATAGAGCAGTGGAATTTAACAGACAATGTGCATAGTTAAAACGTTACGATGAAAGTTAACAACTTCATGAAAATTTAACATGGTCACATGAAAGTTAATATGTTCATGTAAAGGTTAACATATCTCAGAGAATAAAAACACTATGTTTACATCAAAAGTGGTTCTTGAATGTTGAAGAATAAAAACACTTAAAATGTTTTTTGACTGTGCCTTGAAACCTGAAATCACTATGTTTACATCACACAAAGCCTAATGTTATAAAGAGTTTATTAATTACTTACATTTCAGTAATAACTTTCTGATTTTTTCCAGAAGTGGAACACTCTATATTAACACCAGCTTGCATGTGAATCTCCGTACAGCCAATATTTCGATTGTGCTCCGACATGCACTTCAAATTATCTTCATTATCAACTAAAAAAACCAGGTTGGAGTGCCTCTCAGATTTATATATCAATGATAAAACTTCTTGAGGTTCTTTCAGTCTTTAAGACACATCAAATTTCAGTTCAAAAAAACTTGTTGTCGAACTTAGCATAAAAATATGGCCTTCTCGCCTAAAGACACCATGCAAATCAAGCCATTGGCAGTCATTGGGGGTGGTTGAAAGTTATGAGGACAGTTATGAGGAGTAATTGAGGGGATTTAAAGTACATAAGGGGTTATTGAAAGTTGAAGAAAAAAATCCTAATTTCATAAATGAGAGATAAAATTAGACAATGTATAACTCATGATGATAAAGAGGGCCTGTAATGGAGGGAACCCGCACTTTTTTCCCCCGCTTTTCGCCGTCGTTTCGCCTTAACTGCTATGGGAGAGATCACCGGATTGAGGAGTCAACGAGCCGGTTTCCTGGGAGAGAGAAGATGGCATTTTCGGTAGGTTTGTTAAAATACACACAGTATATGTATAAAGGTGGGCTTTTCGGGTTGGGGCACACTTTTTAAACTCTTTTGGGGCTAAAGAGTAATGGAAATAATTGGTGGGGCTGGGCCACCTCAGATTCTTCATTTCGGGGCCTTGACACATTTTTCCCAAATACATATCATGCACAAGGCTCCGTCATATTTTCATCACTTTCAGTATACGTGTCTCCTTCTTTACCCTTATGCCTTCAACTCATTTTGTCACACTTTTTCCTCAGACGACTACTAAAATTAACCTTATTTGGACTATCTGCACGAAGGAGATCGACAAAGATATACATGGCAATGACTCAATACTAATACATTTTCTAAGTCCGACCAAACCTTTTTTTCCCCCACCATTCAAATGAATGATTCCTATATAGTTCTTTTTGGTAATATTACACATGGCATGGGCATACAATTAGGGTTGTCCAAACGGACCGGCCCTGCTCGGCCTATCCCAGCCCGGATTTTCGGGTCCAGGTCAGGCAAAATGCCTAGCCCGAACCCGGACCCGAGGTGCCTAGGCCGGGATGGGGTTCGGGTCTAGACCAAACCGGGCCGAGCTCCGGGCCGGCCAGGATTTTTTTGTATTTTTTGTATTTTTGATTTTTTTGATTTTTTTGCTAAAATTTGATTAAAAATTAGATTAATCTTATTATATTTATATAAGCATGTATTAGTATATACTTAAATATTAGTGTATAGCTATATATTATATGTAAGTATATATAATACATTAATGACCAAGTCATACTATAAATATATATAGTATACATTAATGACCAAGTCATACTATAAATATATATGTAAGTATATACAAGTATATATGAAAGACAATGTACAATTAAAAATATATATAACTATACATTAATGACCATATTATACTAAAGTTATATATAAAAATATAAAAAATTATATTAAAATATATATATTAAATGTAAGTATATATAAGTATACATTAATGACCAAATCATACTATAATTATATATAGTATACATTAGAAATATATATATATAAGTATATACAAATATATATTAATGACAATGTATACTTAAAAATATATATATAACTATACATTAATGATCATATCATACAATAGTTATATATAAAAATATAAAATATATATATGTATAATATGTATATAATTAAAAACCGGGTCGGACTGTCCCGGATTTTCTAGACCTGAGCCGGGGCCAGGTTCGGGCCCAGACGGCTCCGGGCCCCAAGCCCATTACACAGTTAAAACAATACAGAGAGGAAGGTAACAGACTCGGTCTTCTGGAGGATAAGCGAGGCCACTAGGTGAATGCTATGAACGTCAAGATGCAGTTAAACACTTCTCTTGAGAATTTATCTCGTTAAATTTTCATCTATAGGCTCATATTGTGAGAAAAGAATGAATGGAATTTTATTAAATTATAAACGCCACAGAAAGGGCTCTTGAACAAATGATACATCATTGGTTATGTTAGAACAACACTTTGCTTGATAAATAAGCAAAGGTTGACTATAATGACTATAACGATCGATGAATGCTTACAACAATGATAAATATAAAAGAAAATTTTACAAGTTTACAGAAAAATTTGCTAAAAGATTAGAGACTCATGGCTCTAGACGTTGTTTCTGTTTCTCCTGCTGCCTCCTTTTCAGACCGACCAATAGGGGCCTGCAACAAGGTCAGGGCGAAAAAAACAGTATTAGCTTCACAATCAAACAAAATGATCAAGGTTTCTTTCTTTTCTTTTTTTTATTTTCTTTTTGTCTTTTTTTTATTTAGGGTGAAGTTCATGCTTAGTAAAAGCTTACTAGTAAATAATACGACAACATATTACTGTACCAGTGAATCCTTCCCTGCGTTTACAGAAAGATAGTGATCTAGTGCACCATCTCCTCGAAGAATTTTAGCTCCACAACCCGGTCTATCAAGGGAGCCAACAGACTCTTCATCCACCATGACTGCATCTACTCTCTCACTTCCTGGTTTTACGTCTGGGATCTGCATGCAAGCACATCAAAAAGGGTTAAATACCAAAAGACAAAGAACAGGAAATCCACCAGGAGCTACGTATGCTAATGATCGCAAAGTATTGTGTTTATACTTCAAATGGTCGATGATATGCGAAAAAGACTTGGGTTTGAGTTGTGTATATCAATTTTTTCAAAGTGTTTGGCATGGCTAACAGTTAAGGGTCTAAGTCATGGAAGTAATCACGCAATTAGCCAATGGATATTACTTTCATTCATATTTCAAAGCTAGGATATTGGTGAAGAAAGAAATTTTTGAAAAAAATAATAATAATAATAAAGTTTGCGCTGGGCTCGAAGTTCCTTGAAATATGACGATTTAGAAGGGTATCTGGATCTAGAATTCGACCAGACCAGTTTAGGTCCAACAGATGCTATTCAAGCTCGAGGCTGGAAAGGACTAAGTTGACGTGTCTCTAAGACATCCAGAACCCAGGATATTGGGAACACACTTTCCAAGTGTCTAGTTCAGGTCATGCGAAAGACGATTCAACACTTGGGTCATTAATCTACCCAGATATAGTTTCATATAAAAGATGAGAGAAATAAAATTTGGTCCACAAACCTCATACATGGCCTCCATGAGAATACTTTCCAAAATACCTCTTAGACCCCGTGCGCCTGTGTTTTTAACCATGGCCTTTTTAGCTATCAGCCTTAGGGCATTCTCTGTAAAATGCAGTTTAGTCTGCATGGGAACATTGATCCACGGTAAGAAGTTGCTGAATCTCAAGATGAGAAACATGTGAACAAAATACTCACATTATTCATACTAAACAATTTCCTGTATTGTTTGCCAAGAGCATTGTTGGGTTCTGTTAGGACCTGAAATACAAGTCAAGCTCCATTAAATTTGTCGATACAAAATGGGTTTAGTAGATGTGTGTTTGCATGTGTATATCAGGGAGTAATCAGGCCCAGCCTAGAGTTAGTAGGCCCCAACCCCACTTAAAGTCATCATTCTTTCTTATCTTTTCCAATGTAGGACTATACTCACACATGAATATCCAACAATCTCCCCTTCAATTGTGAGTATAGTTCAATCTTTCAACAGGATTCACTAACTTCGTCTGAATCGGCAATTTAGAGTTGATGGGCCTTAAATAAATGCTAGGAAACAAATTTACATGGAAATGGGTTTCTGTGAGCATGCGTGCAATTTGTGCCATATGCATGTTCGTAAAAAATATTTTTCAAAATTTACATGGAAATACTATTTACTTTTGCTGAATGGCATGCTGGGGTGGTGCCTCAGCATTTTAACACATGTATCCAACAAACTAAATGCTCTAGATCTAAAAGTATTTCAAGTAGCCAAATTAATCAAATAGTTGATGTACTGGAAGAAATAAGTAAAGATCATAGACATGATTGGGGTGTAAGTGTAAAACACATGGTAAAGATCATAGACATGATTGGGGTGTAAGTGTAAAACACATGGCAATGAGGATTCCTTAAATAATGAGGTAAACAAGAACACTGAAAATAACCTACTCAAAGGAGATGAAAATGAGGTACTTCAGTAAACGTTACCTCAACAAGTTGATCCTCGTTCAAAGCCAGTAAACTAACAAGTATTGGAAACCGTCCAATAAATTCTGGTATGAGGCCATATGAAATGAGGTCACCACTTTCAACCTACGGAAAGAATAATCCCATTCACATAAACGTATCTAAGAGAAGATAGAAAGAAAAAAAAAGTTGCAGCATGAACATAGAACAAGTTTTTCATACCTTTAAAAAGAATATAAAAAATGAAATGCTAATTTAATTGTATTATACTTTTGGCACTAATACTAATATTAGATGACAAGGTGGCCTCCCTAATCTCATTACCAATTCTTGACAAGTAGAGGACTTTTCCACCATTTATCAGGAACAAGTACTAAAAGTAGTACAATAAGCACAACACTAAAGAGTATAAGAAATGTAGACTCAATTCACTTACGGATTGCAATAAGGATGACGTCACCATAGCATTTGTTGGATTGCCAGTTCTCATATTTGCACGAACTGGTGCTCCAAAACCTATGGAAGAATCTTGTCGTCTGTTGCACATCAAAAAATTAGGGCTCAAAAATCCACCAAAAGCTACTCTTTATTCAGAAAAGGCAGCTTCTTATGTCGAAGAACATGAAAATGTGTTACCTTTCTGAAATGGTCTTGTCCAAGTCAACAAAAGCACCACCACATATAAAAAGAATATCTTTCGTATCTATCTGCAGATCAATACAATAGGTGGTTAGAGCAGCAGAGGAAAAGAAGAATTGGTTAAAAATTATAGATTAACAAAAAATTGGCATGACAACATTGTATTCAGATTTCAAACATGTGTGTCATGAAACCACTTTACTTTAAGAGTTAGAAGCTGATATTGTTAGTTACCAATGTTGACAAGCAAGCATAGTAGTTAGTATTCATCTCAGGTCGGCAGCCATGAGAACAGACATTAAGCATAAAATTAACTCACTTATAAAGAATAAACGGAGTGAAGAAATATGTCAAATAGCAAGAAATGAGACTTGAATCTAGGACCTCCTAAAATTAATGGTTTGATACAATCTTATGATGATACAAACTTATGATGCATGTCGCAAAAAATTTTAAGACGATCGGTTGTGACCTAACAACATGCGTCAAGATAACTTGGCACTTAACAACAGTCTACTAAGAAAGCAAGGTTTTAAATGTCGGATATCGAATTCATGTCGAACAGCCAAAATTCATATCGGATAGCGGAAATCGGAGATATATCAGGGGACATATTAAATATCGGATTGTCATATCTGATAGATTTCTACTCAATTTTGGTCACCAAGATGGAATGCACTTGTCTTGTTATAACTTATCCTACTTGAGTTGAGTATTCATCATCAAGACACGAGTCATTTTCCATTTCTTGAAGGGAAACGTTAGAATATTATGCCAACAAATAAATAAAATACACATTGTCAAACTAGAACTTTTGAAGTGCCTTGCATAAAATTAACATAAAGAAAAGTACCTTGCATAAAATTAACATAAAGTGTTAGACTTTGAATTGATTTCAAGCTACGGTTCAAACTTATTGTTTACATCACACTTTTATGTATTCTCAATTTTAATTTTAGAGACGAAGAAGAACAAGAGGAGATCCCGGTGGAAAAGAGAGCAATATTTTTTTTCTTTGCCCTAATCTGTATTATATGCTATCGGGTTACTATGGGAACAAAAGGCTAAAAAAAGAATTAATCAAGTTACTTTTGAGTACTAAACCCAAACCCTAATACTTGTCAACTCAAAAAAAAATTTGATTGATTTTTAACTTTTCAAGGCTGAAAATCGGCCGATATGTCTGCAATATCCCCCGACATGTCCGACATGGACCTCAAAAATGATATCCGACTTGAAATGACCATATTCGTGTCGTTCTAGCCTCTGATCCGACATGTCGGCCAACATTTAAAACCATGTAAGAAAGTGATAACTCATTATGATGATAATTATACTGTTAGAATATGGTTCAAACGTTAGATGGTGACAATCATATTGGATAGGATTGGAAGGGAACAAAGCAAGGAAACAGCCATGTAGATTAATGTAAACGATGGAGGACATCAACCATAGTTACATGGTTTGCGGTATGTAGCGAGTCATCGTACGAATTCGGATACGCAATTTGAGACTTTGAAATTTTGGATTCAACAAGGGATAGCTTGCTTTGATATGCAAGTTCAATATAGGATATAATGTAATTTTTTGGTACGCTTATCATTTTTCAAAGTGTATAGGAGAAAACTAGAAACTAGAAAACTAATTATGATTTCAATATTTTTTTTCTATTTTGCAACTTTCT